CCCCCCCCCCCTCCCCCCCCCCCACACCTCTCGGCGCTCGTAGAACCGCTGAGCCCCCACCACCACAAAAGGCAGGGCCTTTCTCAGACAGGCCTCCTCGAACGAGCGGCTTTGGGCGTTAGTGCGGTACATGACTGCCATCTCCGACGGCTGTACCCTTCCGCTCGTCCAGTAGAGCTCGAGGTGGTGAGCGACCGCTTCGGCTTCTCCGGCGGCGTCTGAGCATACCATGACGCCGATCGGCAAGCCGTCCCCCTATGTTGGCGTCCATATGCAGAGAGAGGGGGCGGGGGGGGGGTTACTCATAGTCGTGCATGCCGTAGACGTTGAGACCATTGACCTCGGGGGGGGGGGGGTTGGGGGGTAACGCCGGAGGGACAGGGCGAGAGAGGGAAGCAGAGAGAGACAGGAGAAAGAGAGGGAGCGCGGGGGGAGAGGGGGATAGGGGCAGAGAGAAGGAGAACAAGAGAGAGAGAGAAAGTAAGCAGCAGAAGCGCACGCCTTTGCGACCACCCCCACACCAGCACCGGCTTCCGATGCACCAACATCCGACAAAGAAACACCCCTCCAATTAACACCGGCTCCATCGCCGGCACCAAGCTCGAACACAAACAACAACATCATCACCAAGGCCAACAAAAACGCCCACCTGAACCGCCGTCGTGTCTATGGTCGACCGTTCCGCACTGGCGGGACACCTGAGACACAAACACGCCTCTAGCAACGCCTGCACCAGCCCCAAGGCCAAGCACGAAAACCAACACTTTTACCTGTCGGTAAAGTGTACTACCTGGCAAAAAGCAAGGCCACCGAAACGCCCACCTGGACCGCGGTCGTCGCTATCGTGGACTGCCCCGCCCTGCCGGACACCTGCCCGATCACCGCCGTCGCCGCGCGCGCGATGTTCGCCGTCGACCGGTAGTTCTCCCTGAGCATCACCGTCCGGCACGCCTTGAAGTCCTCCACGAATCGGGCAACGTTCGTGTAGTCCGCCCCGCGGAACTTGTAGATGCACTGGTCCGTGTCCCCCACCACGAAGATGGACGGCGGCGCCGGTTGCGGCCGCGTCCCCCCCGCAGCACCTTCCCCGCTCACCCCCACCACTTTCGCGCTCGCCGTTTCCGCCTCGGCCCCTCCGGAGGCAGGACTACCGCTGTCACCTAGTCCCGCGGGACTGCTGTACGCGGGGCCCCCTGCCTCCCCCCCCCGTTCTATTCCCCTGGATCCCCCCTCCCGCGCGGCCTGCGCGGCGCGGCGGTTGTCCTCTCGGGCCTGCTGCGCCTCGCGGCCGGCGCGCACGATCTCCAGGACGATGTCGTACTGCGGGCCGTTGGTGTCCTGCCACTCGTCGACCAGGATGTGTCGGTACTGCCTCCCCACGGACCGGAACACCTCTGCCCGCCGGAACCGAGTGTTTTGTATTTGGCACAGTGGTGGGTTGTTTGTACATGTTAATCGTTTCGGTATTCTTCGAAAGACTTCCAACACATCACACCCTTCGGTGTACATCATCGTGTCGGGTTTTTTCAAAGACTTCAACACATCATCCCCTTCGACCCCCGTCGTTTTCTCTCGAACCGGAGCCTCTCTGTGTTTGTAGAACATGCAGTTTTCTAACAATCGCCCCATCTGGTTTCTGCGGAGGTAGTCAGTACGTATACATGTGCCTACCCCGTGGTGTCTGTTGCTGAGCATTACCGGAAGGTAGCCGTACAAAGGGCGCGGGTGATTGAGAAGAGAAAACACAAACAGTAGACAAAGCACGCGTTTGTTTGTTCTTTCACTACTATAAATCAGCGTCTCACAGTGGTTGAGAAGAAAACAAATACTTAGCTGCATCATCAACGACAAAACTTCTCGTCCGTGTGGTGCCTACCTTTGTCCTGCCGCAGCAGGCGCAAGGCGACCAGGATGATGTCGTCGAAGTCGAGGGCGTTGCTCTGGATCAGTCGCGCCTGGTACTTGGTGTAGATCTCGGCCACCATCTTGGCGTGCCTCGCCTTGCCCCCGACGAATCCCGTGCTCTTGCCCCTCTCGAGCATGTCCTCGCTCTTCTTGGCGATGTCCTGGGGCCCCAAGCCCTGGCTCTTGAGCTTGGAGATCGACGACCGCATCATATTGGGTTTTACCTGTATTTTATTATGTTCATCACTCCAAATCAGCACTCACACAAAATGTGAAGGAACTCCAATCCGTGGTCTATCAAAGGCGAAATCAAACCATAGAGCGGTCTACTGAGCGCTGCCTGGTCTATGCTTTGATTTCGCTTTCTAAAGAAACAGAATGAAGACAGATTGGAGGGTGACACAAACCTGGTGCATTTTTTTTCTATGCAGTTGTCGATGTACCAGCACGTTGTTGGCGTGTGGTTTGTCCTTGCTGCCAGGCATGAAAAAAAAAAAAAAGGCAGCGAGGGCGGCTAGCCCAGCGCACCCGAAGGGCCTCAATTCAAGGTTTGGAGATAGAGATACGCCCCGAAAGTGTCGGCTGAGGTTTGCTTCGGGGACTGCCAAAGCAAAGCAAAGTAACTTTATTACGAACAAGGACCAGACAGGGGGTACGCAGACTTTAACCCTCACCCCCATTCTCTACTTGGTTCTACACAATGGTATCCGATATGTTTGCATACCTAGAAAACCTGCATAGGCTACTCCTGAGCTTGAGACAGACCAGCAGACAGGGCGGGAGGCGGCCAACACCCTCCGATTCGTCGACAGAAAACCGCAAAAAAAAGTAGGGGAATGAAATTGCAAAAGCCTCCACCCCACACCTCCTTGATGTCTTGGCCCATCTCCTTGATGATGTCCGTGAGCAGCCTGCGAGAATCCTCCGTGTCGAAGATGGAAAACCTGCCGTCGAGCCCTGGCACAACCGCCGGCAGCGCGTCCCCGTGGCGGCGAAGGAGTCGCGCGCAGATGCTGTGGAACGTGCCGAGGGCCACCTGATCCGTTGCAAAGAAAAGCGGAGGCGTTTTTGCTGCACAATATTGCAGAAACTAACTAACTTTGTGACCCCAGCTGATGCGGCCATATGGACTATAATACGCACAGAAAGCGGTCAACCTCGACGCCCACAGAAGTAAGGGATATACGGGCACAAAAACAAACGGGCAACGGAAAGTTGTACACACCTACCACCAGAACAACGGAAAATGACAGACACAAACGCGGACAACAGAAAGGTGTTGCCCCCCAAACCCAGAGCAAAGGAAAATATGACGCACACACACCGACAACAGAAAGGTGTAGCCCCCCAAACCCAGAACAAAGGACAATACGACTCACGCACACACCGACAACGGAAAGGTGTAAACCACGAATTCCAGAACGACAGCAATAAGAAGGGTCCTGGGTTATGCATATCGTACCCCAAGGAGCCGTTCGCATTGCTGAGTAGAGGCTGTCCGAACACGCACGACAGCAGGACATGGTATAAAATCCAAAGAAGGTTTTCGCTCAAGCTGGAACATAAAAGAACTGGACGCCTCAAAGAGTAAGTCAGCGCTGACTGGTAGCGTAGTGGATACGCTGTACACTTGAACATGCTACTAGTAATAGTACACAGTTAAATATTACCTGGCCGGACACGTCCTCCCCTACGGTCTTGCGCACCCGTGCCCTCATCTCCTCCGAGGCCTTCTTTGTGAACGTTACCGCCAGGATCGACCAAGCTGGAGCGCCGACGTTGCGCACCTTTGTGGTGTTGGTGTTGGTGTTGGTATTGGTATGGGCCCCGAGCCCGTGCCCAAAACATTTGTGCGAGCGCGCCAAACAGGGGCGGGAGAGCGGAGAGGTTGGCGTGTGAGGTATTGGTTTGGTTTAGGATAGGGGCAAAAAAGGAGGGGGCGTAGGGACCGTATCTACTGCTGTAGTGCTCCGAGTACTCGTAAAGTTGAGGCAAGGTTTGTGCTCAGCCCCGACAGAGAATCAATGCATCGAGAGCTGTCGTGCGTTGTCTCTCCCGTCCTCACCAAGACATTATTCTGAAAAAGCAGGTACCCAGTCTCGCCAAAACAGGATTCTGCTGCTCTGGCGCTTTTGTTCGACATGCACCACGCTGCCTGTAGCGCGCATCAAGCCATATTGCTACACAACCCAAGCTCTGTAGCCTTTCCATCTGATACCGTCTGCGAGTCTGTCGCGCTTATCTGGAGCAAAACTTTTTGGACCTGAATGCTGTGGCGAAAATGTTGCTTGTGGGTGCATGTAACCGAAGATAAAACCGCTCTGCGCCAATGAGTTTCAAAGCTCGAAATCTCCTCCGCCGATGAGCTACAATACCGGTGTCGATCGATCATGAGAGGGCTGGAAACAGGACATTGAAAGATTAAGATTTCCGGATAAGGGAGTGAGTGGCTCGGTATCGGCACCATATTGGATGCGGAGCAATCGAGCGCTGAAAGTCTGTCTAGGGGGATTGAATAATACAGTGTACGATAAGGATGGTACGAGGGATGACCACGATTTCTCATAACTTCGTCACCACATTCACCTTAGTCGCGCACACGACGTTTGCCAGGCAAGGCGCGGTCAAATCTACCATTGTCTTGTCTGTAGCTATGTGAATGGTACGTCTATAGAGCAGCGACATGTATTGTACGATCCGCCAGCAGTCTACTAGCAAGCACCAAACCTTCACGTCTCTCATCGCTGTGGCGGCGGTGTAGGCGGTACGTTTGTCAGTAGCATGTAGCAGGTGTGTTCCGACCCTTCACCAGTACATTACAGTCTCACAAAGGCGTTTACTGACCAAGCATCTATTGCTACATATTCTACCATGGTAGCATGTATGGAGCATGATCCCTGTTCCAATCCTTCAACCAATACAAGCGCAAGCATCTGGTCTGTTGCTACATTTCTTCCCGCTGTTAGGTCTCACCAAGTGCGCTATCCTTCGAGTCAGCACCCGCGTCTTTCCCGACCCAGGACCCGCCACCACCCTCACCGCCCCGACCTCGGCGAACACCGCATCCCGCTGGGACTCGTTCAGCTCATCATCGAGCGCGGAAGCACCGTAAAAGGCGTCATTGCTCTGGTCAACATCAGGTACTCTGGTAAGGACGTCATCGACATCGGCAGAAGGGCCTCTGTCCCCGCTATCGCCGGCCCAGTCGCCGCCTACGGCTCCAGCGACGTGGAGGTTGTTGCCGGTGCCGCCATCATCATGAGCACCTCGACTGCGGCCTGTGTCGCCGGCATGGTCTCTAGGCAAGCTGTTCAAGCCCCGGGAGGAAGCCCGCACCATCCCGAGAGCTTGTTGCCCGCGCCATGCCTGCCGTACCGGAAGGGATAGTCGTAGCACATGGTGCTGCTGCTGTGAGCCCGCTGCTGCTGCTGCTGCTGCTGCCGAGTTGGGCGTGCGGTGTCCTGCGGTTCCCAGCCGCCGGGTGCTGTGCTGGTGGCACCTGGCCAGGTGGCGGGGTGGTGCAAAGGCCCTCCCGATGGCCGCCGACATGGCGGCGACTACCACTTGGAAGACCAGAGTGATCGGCCGCATTAGAGCGGGGGCGTGCACGCAGTAGGTCCACTAGGGTACTGATCCCGCAGTATATAACATGCTGAGGAAACAGCATTGGCATGGCGGTCGGCCGGGGTGGTTCTCCAGGGATGGGGTGAAAAAAAATGACCGAGGCATTTCTTTACACCTCCACGTGCAAATCAGGCGCACACACATTTTCCCACCCAACGAAGGTACTCTAGCCTACCGCATGCTCGCGAGTGGAGGGCGGGTGAGCAGCCGGCGCATTGGAACCCGATTAGCTTGGACTCGCTGGTGCTCGTCGAGCGGGAGCGCTGCTGCCGGTGCCGACATGTGAGAGCATGGCAAGCTCTTTGTACTACAATGTATAGCCGGAGCAGTCGACAGCAATCGACGAAAGCTCTCTCTTCTCTCCGTCCTGTGTGTCCCTTCCTTGTCATCCTGACACCGCCCTCCCACACAACAAACCCCTATAGCTGGTTAACACAGGATTATTGGCGGGGGATCTCACTGAGACGCAGGGTTGCTTCGTGGGTGAGGAACGGTGGGAGAGGGATGCGCACTCTGGCACAGCAGTTGCCAGGTGGCTCACGTCCAGCAATTTTTCTCGGCACGGGACTGTCAGGTTTTAACTTGATTTTAGAGAGACGACATCTCGAAGGTTGCTTGGTCCCTTTAGTCAACTTCTGCACAGGGGCAGGCGCGCCCGGTGTGACCGATGCTGAGGTTGGCGATTGATAATAACCAGGGCAACATTCCGTATCGCTGCTGATGCCCAAGCATCATGTGCCCTCTACGCAAGCGGGCGTCTCTATCGCGCCGTAGACCATGTGACTGTAGGCAACAGCGGAGCTACCGGCGTATTTTCATGATGCGAGGGCACAACTCAGCAAGACCCGCTCGCTTTATTATTTACAGGGGATTGTTTTCAGCGTTATCACCACGGTACATTGAGGCAGGCCCTCTTAAGGGCCCCCAGAACAGCAAATTCGATGTTGACTAATTTTGAAAACATACGCAAGAGCACCAGAAACTGTACAACAGACACACAAGACCAGTCGGAAGGCATCGCAAAAAATAGAAATCGTTGAATCCCGCACAGGGCAACAAGTCAAAAGAGCCAAAACGGCAGGCGTTCAAATGAGGTCTGTGTTGACATGTACCTCGTAATTAGTACTGTTATCAGTAGAGGACACCATAAAGAGGCTTTGTGCGTGCTGGCACGTTCAGGTTTGCTACTGGAGCTGAAATATTGAAGGTCGCAGCAACCTCTGAAAACAGTCCGAAATCTGCGCCGGAATCAAGCGGCATCCAACATTTGTCACAGCCGTGCACACCGCCACGGACCCCAATCTCTTCAACTGTGCGTTTACAGCAGTAGCTCATGCCACGAGCTACTGCGGACAACCCTCCGTTGAGGAGATTGGGGTCCGTGGCGGTGTGCACGGCTGTGACAAATGTTGGATGCCGCTTGATTCCGGCGCAGATTTCGGACTGTTTTCAGAGGTTGCTGCGACCTTCAATATTTCAGCTCCAGTAGCAAACCTGAACGTGCCAGCACGCACGACGCTTCTTCATGGTGCCCTCTACTGATAACAGTACTTATAACCAGGTACCTCCTGCAGGAAGGTTGTTTTCTTTATTATGTTGGATTAAGGTACGAGAAAAGAGCCAGCGTCAAAAACCCTGTTCTGGGGGCCCTTAAGATGTTTCAATTCCACCATAAATAGCAGGACGAAAAGAAGGTTTTGCCCACCAATACATTCGATAGCCGATACCCATGAAATCTGGTCGTGGCATTTGTATGTTCGCTATGCTTACTGCTGTACAATTGAGTCTGTTTGGTCACACTCTTCCGCAATGTGTAGATTCCTCCGCAGTCACTGCTGTTAGCTTACTCCCACAGGAAGGTGTGTGTTATCCATTCCCTTCGGAGAGGTGTGTGGCATGTTTTATGCCGACATATCGTCCCCCCCCCCCCCCCCCCCCCCTACTTTTTTTTCCCTCCCATTGCACGAAAGGCGAAAATCTTGAAAGGGAAAAACCGAACAAGGCCAAGCGCGGAAGGCGCGTCCCGGGGAACCCTTGGCGCGTACTCCCAGCAAGGAGGGGGAAGAGGAAGATCCCGCCATGGCGCTGCCTCATCCACTGCCTCTTCCGGGGCAAGCCGGGGGGGGGGCCGGGGGGGGAAAGCCC